GCGCGCGCGGGGCGGGGCAGCGGCGCTCCTCGGGCCCGCCCTCGCTGGCCCGGCCCGGCCCTGCGGCGCATGCGCAGCAGCGGAGGCCAGTCGCCTGGGACCCTCCAACAAAAGAGGTCCGGGGCTTGCCCTGCCAGGGGGCGGGCGGCGGGCCCGGGAGGGCGCCGGGCGGGGCGGGGCGGGGCGGGGCGGCCGCCCCGGAGGGAGCGCTTCGGGCGCACGGAGGGGCCTGGCGCTGCCCGGGCTTGGGGGCCTCGGAGGGAGCCGCCCCTTGCGGGCCGCCCGGCCGCCCTGGCCTGGGGCCTTCCGACGGGCGGGACTGCAACTCCCACAGTCCCCCGCCAGCCGCCGGGGGATTATGGGAGGTGTGGTCCAACCCGTCAGGGGGACGGGACGGGACGGGACGGGATGGGACGGGGCGGGCGGGGGCAGCTCCCCCACCTGGGCGGCAGGTGTGTGCGGGCGGGCGGGGGCCCCGCCGGCGCGTCCCGCCAACCCTGCCGCCCGGGCTCTGCTCTGCTCTGCTCAGGGAGCCCCGACAGCGAGATCGACGCGCACCGCGCACGCGGCCCGGACTGCGCCGCCCGGCGGGTCGCCCTCTTCGCGCAGGTGAGGCGCGCACGTGGGGCGTGGGGGGCACTGCGGGGACGAGGCCCTGGCGGCGCTGTGCGGTGCTGGATGCCAGGTCCGTGACCTCGCGTAGTTCGCGTGCGCGCGGAGGAGGCTGACTTGCTCTTTGCGCGATGCGTGTCCTGGATGGGGTCTGTGGTGGCACTTCGTCTTCAGTCTAGCCGTGTGCATGAAAGCATCTGCTTTAGTCTTTAAAATAAACAAGCACGAAACATGCCGTGGAGTCCAAGGTGGGCCTGCGTGCCTTTCCCCCCTCTGCATCTTATTTTTCTGGCAAGGCTGGGGGAAGAGAACTCGCCTCCAGTCCCCAGTGAGTTTCCTGGCTGAATGGGGATTTGAACTCGCGTTTCTCAGCTCCTGCGCTCAACACTTTCAGTTCAGTGCTCCCAATATGCTGGCTGGGAATGATGGGAGTTACACTCCCACACATCTGGGGCGGGAGTCACCAGCTTGGGGAAGTCTCTTGTAATCGCAATTTCTCTTCCCCCGGGTTCCATCAGTTTTTCACCAAGATAAATAATGCATAATTAGATCAGGTGTCTCCCTCCTGAATTTGGGCCGCTTTTAGTTGAGACATGGAGGCCTCTGGGTTCACCAACCATCTCCTTTTCCCCACCCGCCTGCGATGTAGACGATGGAGCGTGGGGCATTGGATCCTGGCCGTCAGCTGCCTTTGCCATCTGCATCAACCTGCCAGCTTGTGTTTAATGGCGAGCGGAAGGTACAAACCTTGGAGCCGTCTGCGTGGGCCGGGGCCGGGGCTGAAGCCATGGACCACCTGATGGACTCTCACAGTGCCCGGCTGCTGCGTCTGGAAAGGAGGATGGCGGCCGCTGAGCAGAGATGGGTTGGCTGTGAGCAAAGGGTGGCAGAGATGGGCAACCAGCTGGAGAGCAAACTCGCCACGCTTGGGACCCTGTTTGAGGAGAACAGCCTCCTCCAGCAGAGACTGGAGAACCTGGAGAACCTGCTGAAGAACCGGAACTTCTGGATCTTGAGGCTCCCTCCAGGTGTTAAAGGAGAAACCCCGAAGGTAACATGGATCCAAAATACGGCAAGGGACAATAAATACAGGCATAGTGAGGGACCCACAAATTGCGGCTGAACTTGCAAGCCACGTTTTGCTCTGTAGTAGCCAGCTGCAAAGCTCTTTCAGTGACCCCTACTTCAAAACAAAGGTGATTTTTACTTATTTCTTTACTTCCTAAACTTCCTAAAAAGTCAACGATTTGCATCGGGGGTTGTGTGTAGGTGCTTATTAAATATTGCTTCTTTGGCTGTGCAAGTTTAAGCATGTCTCCTCAAAAAAAGCCCTTGTGTGTTCAGTGGGGCTTCCAGGGAAGTAGGCCTCAGAATGTTTCCCTGTGCCTGTTTGGACAGAAAAGGCAGCCAGCAACTGCCAGCATGCCCCAGCCAGCCGAGCTGCAGGCCCTTTTTCTGCCCAAACATGCGAAAGGTTGCATCTAGGAGACTTGTAGTGCTGTCCTGGACATGTTTGTGCAGAATCGAGCTCCACGGAACTGAATAGGGCTTGTGCTCAGACCGTAGCCCAGCTTTCCTGCCTTCCCCTCTAGCGTGCAGAATAGACCCGTGCTAAAGATGTCGTTTCCCCTGTTTTTCACAACCCTCCCTCTGCGACGGCAGTGAGCCTGTACCTGGAATCGGGCCGTCAGGCTCATCTCTCTGCCGCACATTTTTCTGCCGTGAGCCGGAGTACAAGTTGACGTGATTGCTTTTGTTTTGCAGAGAATCTCAAACAGTAGTTTCTAGCACGTTGAAAATGGGAACATTCCCACAGAGGTTCTGCGTTTGGAGGACCTCACAGCTCTCCTGATCTTCGGAAAAGGAGGCCAGACTGATAAATTTGCCCTTCTTTGCCTGAGCCCGCCCTCCTTCAGTGGGGCTACAAGGAAATGGGATGCACCTGCTCCTGTTTTCAACGAATCACAGCTTACCTTGTTGCTGAATGTGGGTTTTGAAAACAAAGCAAGCCAGGATCAGGAAACCTTGTTAACTCCTGAACTGTTCAGATAAACCGTTGTTTAATGTAACCATAGCTTGTGCTAGTTTGGATGAAACCACAAGCCATGGCTAGTTGCTTGTGGACCTGCCAGAGGGGAGCATGGGAGGCCAATTTACAGAGGAGAGAATCACGTCTCCATGACACAATCGCCCACAGAGATCTTGCAACCCAGTTCCCGCCTTCTTTGGCCAGCAGAGCCGCTGGAGATGATGGGAGATGTCCCCAGGCACTTGGGGGGAGCCGGGGCGCTGAGCTATCGGGGGAGGGTTGCACCTCAGAGCAGCTGAGCCGCTGCCTCCTCGGCTGTGCTAGTCAAGCGAGGCTGGACGCGGGGCGCCTGGCGACCCCCCAGAAGCAGCCCCTGCGTCGGCATTTGCTCTCCGGCTGCGTGTGGGGGTGCCCGAGTCCAGGGGGGAGGGGGTGCTGCTGTTGCGTCCCACGGAGGCCGCCGTTCCTGAGCCCCCCTTCCTCGCTGTTCCAGGTGCCGGTGACCTTCAGCGACGTCTCGGTGTACTTCAGCGAGCAGGAATGGCAGAACCTGGACGAGGGGCAGAAGGAGCTGTACAAGGCCGTCATGAGAAGCAACTACGAGATGCTGGTCTCGCTGGGTGAGAGGCTTGGCCCGCTCGTCGGTGCCTTGGGCTGCATCCCTCTCACGCTCAGGGACGGGGTCCTCCCACCTCTCTCTCGAGCAGGGGACCATTCTCGGGAGGAAGCTTTTGCTTTCCAGTGTACGTCCAGCAAGAAAGCGCTCAGCCAGCAAGAGCCTCTGAGCATGCACAGAGGCGCTGGTTGTTTCCACGAAGCCTCCCTGTCAGTAACCCTGGGCCCCACCCCTCTGGGCCGGTCCCCGTGGAGATGGGCCAGCGTCCTAGACCTGCGCAAGTCCTCTAGTGGGCCAACCCTTCCTTCCCGGCGCTGCGTCCTGGGGCCAGTAATCAGGCCAGGCTCTTCTGGCTCCTCTCCCGGGCCCCCTTCCGACCCCCCACTCCCTGAGGGTTCCCAGCGTCTGCCTGAGCACCTGAGGCAGCGGCCCTGAGAAATGCTCCTCTGCCGCCGTCTCCGCGTCCTCAGGCCTCCTTTCCCAGCCCTCACCGTCCTCATCCAGCGGGTCGGAGCCACCCAGGCCCAGGAAAGCGCGCCATGAATAACCGCCTCTTTCCTCCCGAGTTGTGCCCACGTCCGTGCCGAGCGGGCCCTGCCGGCGCTCCCCCGCCCCGTGGCTGCCGCCGGCTCCTCACGGGACGCTTCTCCCTGGGCAGCACCACTTCCCGGTAACGCCTCTCTTTCTCCACGGCCAGACTACGCGGTTTCCAAGCCCGGGATCCTGTCCCAGATGGAGCAAGGGGAGGAGCTGTGCACCCAGGACCTGGAGGCCCTCGAGCGGAGGGAGGCGCCTCCGGACCCCAGCTGCAGGGGTGCGTGAACGGCAGGCTGCTTTCCTCGCAGAGGCTCCTGCTCTTGGGGAACGGCCGTTACAGCCCGGGGCTGAAAGCAGAGAACCGGGGCTCCTGGCAGGCCCTTCTGCGGGGCGGGGGGCGGGAGAGCCAGCGTGGGGGAGGCGCCTGCGGGGGCCCGAGGGAAAGGCCCGTGCAGGAGCGGCAAGCAGCGGCAGGCGGGGTGTTGTCCTTTTCCCTGTGCGCAGGAGCCCCCGCCGTCGCTGTGGACGCTTCTTCCGGCAGTAGAGAAGCAGCCGGGGAGGAGGCGAAGCTGGTGGCCGACCTGGAGAGTTGCCGTGAAGCGGGCCTCGTCGAGAGGCCCGGCCTGGGTGAGTCTCTTCCTCGGCTCAGGGGCCTGCGTCGCCCAGCTCGGAGAAGGCAGAAATACCATGACTCACGCGCGGCCCACTCAGCGCCCACCTCTCCCCAGCCCGTCCCGTCCAGTCCCGCAGCCCTCTTGGCTGCTCCCACCTCAGGGCCCCGCGTTTCCTTCTGGTGCAGTGCCTTACACCCGTTCAGCCACCCCCCGCCCCCCGGAAACGGCCCTTTGGGGTGCGGCAAGGTCTGCTCTGCTTGCAGCCGCTTCAGGAGGCGTGTGTGGAGACAGACCGAAAGGCCGCTGGCCAGACGGCCGGACGGTGCCCTGCGTGTCCTGTTGGGGGCGAGGCGCATCTTGGCCCTTCCCTTGCGGCCTGGGGGAGGAGCCACTGCTTCACCGGGTGGGGGGCTTCTTCTCATGGAGAGGGCCAAGGATCAACTGCGGCACTACCCTCCCGGGCTGGGGAAGGGTCCTGGGGCCTCTGGGGAGCTGTCGCAGCCACTGCAGCTTGACTGCCGCTGACGTCCTCCCCTGAAAGGGGGCATTACTGGGCGGGAAAAGGTGCAGAGGAGGCAGGAGAGGGATTGGGATTGGGGCAGTGGAGGAGGCAGCCGGAGCGTTTAGCCTGGAAAGAGGGCGAGGGGGGGGGGACAGGAGAGAGGCATTTAAGACAATGCGCGGTGTGGAGAAAATGGAGAGGCAGGCGTTTTTCTCCGTCTCCCATAACACTCGAACCCGGGGTCATCCCAAAAGCCAATGGGCGGGAGGTTTAGGGCAACTAACAGGAAGGACCTCTGCGCCCGCCCACCATGCAGCAGAACTGTGGGATTTGCTGCCATGGGAAGCAGAGATGGCCGCCAGTCTGGATGGCTTCGAAAGGGGACTAGATGGCTTCACAGGGGAGGCGGCTACGGGTGGCCACCAGCCTTGCCCGCCATGGGCTGCCTCCTTCGCCAGAGGCCGAGTGCCCACGTACCCGAGCTGCTCAGGCAGCGCTCTCGCACTCGTCCTGTGGGCCGCCGGTTCGCCCCTGTTCGCAGAGTGCCAGACGGGATGGGCCTTGGGCCTCATCCAGAGGGGGGGCTTACCGTGTGCTTCTGTCCTCGTGACTGACCCAAACAGTGCTGGCCTGCCGCCATAGAAAGGGCTTCGAGCCCCTTTTCGTTCCAGCTTGCTTTCAGCACGTGATTGTAATCAGCGCTTAACCTGTTGCTGCATTTAAGCGTTCAAACGCTTCGCTTGGACTGCGGGATGATGGTCTGCTGTAGCTTGTTAATGTTTACACACTGCCTTGAGTGCTTCTGTAGAAATAATTTGGCCTTGGCTTTAGGGTGGTAGGGCTTCCAAGGCTGCTGGGAGAAATCTAAGGAACGGAAAAGCGTAATTGCTGAAAAGCAGCTCTAACAGACCAGCAACAGGAAGCCAGCCAGAGGCCGTGGAAGCAGCAGCGTGGTCCAATGAAGTAACTTTCTGCAACGCAACAGATTCGCCAAGGGACCCTTGTCTGGCATTTTAAAAAGCAAACCAACCCATCTCTGAAGGGAAGCCATTTTAGCAGGGCGGCCCGGGGGTGGCACGAACTCCCCCGCAAGCCCCTTTCCCTGTGGCTGATCTCAGGGTGGCTCCCAGGTCTTTGGGGGCTTCTCTGTTTCGAAAGGCTGGCCTGCCCCCCCCCCCCGAGACCGACTTGCCGGCAGCAAGGGCTTTGCGCGAGGGCAGCTCGCCGCCCCTCCCACATGCACCCACACGCTTGCCCCTTTGGCCCTCCCCACCCCGGCCGTGTGGAGCCCGAGCGTTTCTCTGAGACGGAAGTGGCTGGAGGCCGTCCGGCACCCCCCCTTTAAAGGGCCGCCCGTGCCCGCTAAGGACGGGTGGCTCCCCCAGGTGACGGTGCTGACCGGCACGTGGGCCTGCCTTCACGGCGGCGGCAGGGAGCCGCCGGACCTGGCTGGGCGGCACAGGGCGCTGGAGAGCGCCTGGGCCTGATGTTCCTTCTTCCACAAAGCCCTTCAGATGTCCCAGCATGACGTGGGGCTCCAGGTCAAGCAAGAACCAGAGGAAATGCAGATCAAGACAGAGCCCCTGTCGCCCGGCAGCCCCGACAGCGGTGAGTGGTGGGTGGCTCTGGGCGGAACATCCTGGGCATTGGAGCAGGCAGTCCTTGCCAGGCTTGGGAAGAAGGGCCGCGTGGAGGCCCCGGTCCGTCCAAAGCGAGAGCTGCTCTGGTTCAGGGGTATCCGGTTTAACTCTCATCTCTGCCGTCTTCTTGCATGCCTTGGGGACACCAAAGTAGGGCAAAGCCAGCCAAGTTTCAGCATGTGGTGAAAAGGTGCAAGGATGAGTGGAAATGCCCTTGGCTTTTCCTCCGGGAGGACGTGGGTGGAATGCAGGCTGCGGCAAGGGGTGCCGTCTCTGCTGCTTGCAGTCTGAGCAACCGGGGCTGTCCTCCAGGAGATGGGGGCGGCTTTGAACCCCTAGGCCCCTCGTGGGCCCCGTATTCCTTGGGAAGGAGCTGATGGGGAAAGGGCCGGGGGGGCGAGAGCCATCCTGATTCTTCTCTCTCGCCCCCAGAGCCGTTCCTTCGCATCTGCATCAAGCAGGAGGAGGAAGAGGAGGAGGAGAGCCCGGACGAGCCGCAGGGTTTAGTTTCACTCGGTGAGTAGCAAGCAGCAGGGTAGCGACCTGGCAAGAACTCTGTGCATGCGCACGAGCGTGCCGGGGGCGAGGGTTTGGAAGAACCGGCCGGTCCATCAAAGGCGGCGCTCCGGATTGCAGCTCCGCTAGGCTAGAGCTGTGGTGCCGGAGATCTCACTGTGGTTGCTTTTAGGGCGTTCTATAAATGTTTTGCGATTATTTTAGGTACACATTGTAAACTTTAATAACTCTGCTCCCCACGAAGCACATCCAGCCTGACGATAGGCCAGGGCGATGCAGTGGCCTTCAGGCAAGGAAACGAAACCGGAGCGAAATAATTCAGCGGCCAGCCATGAGTTCCGGATCGCCTCCCCCAGATGCTGCGCCTGCAGGCCTGTTCCTGCTCAGGGCCGCCTTTGAGTCCAAGGCCAGCGTCGGGAAAGAGTCGCCCTGTCGCTCATGGCGCCCCCGCAGCATCACCTCGCTTCTCTGAAGCGCAAATTCGAAGTGACTGCGAGGCACGCGGGTTTGTTCGGCCCTCTCTGGTGGGGAGCTGCCTGGGCGAAGTTGTGCCGGCCCTGCGTGGTGCTCCTTGGCCGTTATTCCACACATGCCAAGTGCGCAGGCGTCCCCAGGCATTCGGGCCGGTGGGCACGTGTAGCGGGGGGGGGGGCATTGTGGCACTCACAAAGGGGCCGCGTGGAGCCGGGGGCTTTCCAAGCGGCCGCAAAGCCCTCTTTGCAACGCGCCGCCCTCTGCTCCAGCACTCGTGTCGCGGAAGGCGAACTACAGAGGCTGAGAAGGTGGGGCCCACGTTCTGGAACGTCATGGGAGGAGGCGGCCCCTTCGCTTGGCCCGCCTCCCGGCTTGGCTTGCTCACTTAAAAGATGTTTGCAAATTAAATGAATGGGAGATCAGGAAGGGCAGCGCTGCGGGAGAAGCGCCCGCGAGCCCCTCGGAGACCGGCTCTGCGCCTTGCTCGCACCCGGTCTTCACCATAGGCAGCGGCATCCGCTCCCGTGTGTCTACTCTGAGGAGGAGCAACACGGGACACAACCCGTTTCTTCTGCGGTGTGAAGGGCTTGCCTGAGTGGTGCCCTCGCTCAGCTGAATCGCACGTTCCGGGGTCCCCCCTCCGGAGTACGTGACCGCGGCCCCCGGGGGTTTCCCCTTTCCTGAAAGCGCTCCTTTCCCCCTCAGCCGCACACCAGATGCTGCTGGAGCGCGAGGACCAGAAGCCGCGGCCCGCCCTGGGCCCGTGCGGGGAGCCCGTGCCGCCGAGCGCGCTGGAGGACCCCGAGCAGAAGGAGGCGTTCGCGCGGGGCTGCCTGGTCCAGTGCGGCATGTGCAGCTTCATCCACCAGGAGACGCTGGCCGACCACCAGTACAGCCGCAAGCGCAAGCTGCAGTGCACCGAGTGCAACCGCAGCTTCGCCTTCCAGGGGCAGCTGTCGCAGCACCTGCTCAGCCACGTGCGGGGGGCGCAGTTCCCCTGCGCCGAGTGCAACCTGTGCTTCTCCAGCCAGAAGGCGCTCGGCGTGCACGAGCGGGTGCACGCCGTGGACTGGCCGCTGCACTGCTCCGCCTGCAACCGCAGCTTCACGGACGCGGCGGCCTTCGAGCGGCACCAGCAGTCGCACGCCCCGGGCCAGGTGCGCCGCTGCCTGGAGTGCAACGTCTACTTCACGGACCCGGCGGCGCTGGCGGAGCACAAGCGCATGCACTCGCAGGACTGGCCCTTCCGCTGCGCCCAGTGCGACCGCACCTTCGTGCACCAGGGGCTGCTGATGGAGCACCTGCAGAACCACAGCCGGACGCGGAGCCGCCGGTGCCACATCTGCGGCTCGTGGCTGTCCTACAAGGGGCTGCTGAAGCACAACCAGGCCCAGCTGTACCACTGCAAGAAGTGCAACACGGCCTGCCACGTCCAGGGGGCCGAGAAGGCCGGCGGGGGCGCGGGCAAGCCCGGCGAGGGCAGCTCCTAGGCGCCCCCGGCCTGGCTCTGGAGACGCGCGGCCCGCCGGGTGGGGGGCGGTCGCCCCGCGGCCCCCTCTCCTGCGCTTCGGGGGCGGTGCGGCGGTCCGGGGAGCTCTCCCTCGGGAGGCCCCGTCCGGGGAAGGACTCGCGTGTGGCTCCCAGATTGGCCCGTGCTCCCCTGCACCGGACGCGGGGAAATTCGCCCGGGAAGGGTGGGAGTCGGGCTGAGGCGTGTCCCCGGCAGGGAAAGGGACCTCCTGGCTGGGCGACCCGCGATCAGTGCAGCCAGAATCTCATTGTGGGACGAGGAGGCGGGGTTCGTGGGCGCCTCCTGCCAGCGTTCGCAGTGGGGACCCTGCCGATGCCTCGCTCAGTCCAGTCCGCCCTCCCCCCCCGCTGGCCTGCTGCATATGTTGGGCGATCCCAGGGCATGAGCCCCTGAGCTCCAGAAGAGGAAAGCTGGTGTGGTGTTGGTCGGTTAACCCGTGGTTTGTCGTCACATGCGAACCCAGAACCACGAGCGGTTTGTGGGTTTTCATCACACTACAGAGCAGGTGAGCGGGAGGTGGCCAGGAGGCCGGTGCTGCATGTGCTGGTGCCACATTTCTGCAAAGGCGTTTGGGACGCGGGGAGCGAGTGGCCAAGCGGGGGTGGCGGGGAGCAACCAAGCCACACCGCGTGCGATCGGCCACCAGGCCCCTCCCGGGTGCGACAGCATTTGGGTCGACTAAGCCGCGGGCCTGGGGCGCTGGCACTCCGGTTTGTGACCCAGCTCCCTGACCCGCCGACCCAGTTTGAATACCCAGTGGCAGTTCTTCCTCAGTCGTGCCCAGCTCGGTCCCGAGTGCCTCTCCCAGAGAAGCTGGGCTGTGTGGGGCCCGGAGTGCCCTCCCCACACGCGAGACCCCTCTCTCACGGACACTGCGCACGCGGGGCCCCGGCACTGCCTCCCGCCCGCTGGGCAGGGCCTGCTTCATGGCGCTCGCCTCCCAAGGCCCTCTCCCCGCACGGGAGAGCGTTCCCCCCGCTGCCCGGCGCAGCCTCTCCCCGGTGCGCTCCGCTGCTCCCTCAGGATCAAGAATCGACCGAGGGAGGACGTTCCCCCACGCCAAGGTAGCGGCAGGTTGGCCGGCAGGTCGCCTGGCCCGGCCAGGGGCTCGCCACTTTCGAAGAGCGGGGCCTCGTGAACTCTGCTGTTGCTCCACCCCGTGGGTGACCACTGCACGGCGCTGCCCAGGCTGCCTGTCTTCCTTCCATGCCAGAGAAGCACAGCCGCAATTCTGCCCCTCAGAGTTTGGGGCCTTCTCCTTGGGCACTCGGCAGGAAGCAGGGGAAGCCCTAGGATTGGGGGAGACGAACCCCCAGCTGAACCGGGGTCTCTCGCTGGGGCAGCAGCTACAGAGCCCCAGAAAACTCAAATCTAACTTGCAGACACACTAGATTTGACCTTTTTGGGCCCTCCATAGTGCTCCGGACACCTTCTGCCCCACAAAAATATATCTCTATATTTTACAAGCCTTTTTCAGGGTGGGTGGCGGGGGCTGCAGGTTGCTTACCCCAATCCTCGAGTCGGCATTGATGATTCCCTCCATGTTTGAGAAATGTTGCATTCTCATGGCAAGTCGTGCCCTTTCTGGGGAGCTGACAGACTGTTTGCTCTGAGCTGCAATGGGGGCTTCTTGTCCGGCCTCCATCAAGCCGTGCAACCCGCTTGCGGGTGTCTTGGCACACCTGCTTCACTGTGGACAGATGGCTTCCCTGAAAAATTTGGAATTTGGGCACATTTTATCTATCCCTAATTTGAAATGGCATTTTCCCTGAGGAATCATCTGTAACCTGTTTGCTGTGGAGTTAATATAAGAGTTTAAACTTTGTCGGAACTGCAAATAAAATGTACCTAGTTCTCATTGAGGATTGCTTTGGTGCCTAGCTTGCGTGTGCTGAACTCCCGCAGTTTCCTAGTTGGTATATAGTCCAACACACCCGGACAGCACCAAGCTGGGGAAGTCCCACGTAAGCACTGGTTCCAAAGTTTGGGGCAAGTCGGTTTGCCTTCGGTGCCTCGAGGCTGGACACGGTCCTTGGCAAGACGGCCGCATGGACGCCCCTGGCGATTGCTTGCTGAGCCCCACGCTTTTCTCGCAAGCAGGCTGGTAGTTCACTCCGCATCGAGATGTGGAGCTGCAGGGCTGGCGCATCCTCCACCCCGGTAGCCACTCAAAGGGACAAGGCTGCTCCTGTGCTTGGAAGAACTGTTTCCCAGTCTGAAGGTCACATCTAAAATGGGTCGCACCGTTGGCACCGCTATATCTTATTAAAAGAAGAGGACAAGAAGAGGACAAGAGAAGGAACGTCTGTGTCGGAGATACTTCCTGCTCCTCTGAGAATTCAACTAAATGCCTCTCCGGATTCCTGGATCTTGGAGTTGTGACTGCCAGATTTGTTGCCTGCAGTACAAAAATTCACTGAAACGGGCGGGTGAGGAGCAAGCGGACACGTGATTTTGAGCAGAAAGAGGCTGATGAAGGAGGGAATGTACCCCAGAGTGGCTCCTACAGAAGGAATTCCTGCTCCAGGTGACCTTGGCCGATCAGGTGGCTCTCAACCACAAGCCGCACCGAATGCAACCCAAGCGCTTCTTTCCAGGGATTGCTGTCCGGCCGTTTGCTAGCGCATGCCCCGGGGATGTGGTTGCACGGGGTGGCATGTCAGGAGAGCCGCTTGCAAGCAGCAGGTGGGGTCATTCTGGATCTTGTCCTGTGTGCCTTGACCTCCTGCGCACGGCAACACCGGAGCTGCGCCAGGGGCTCCTGCAGCAAGCCCACCCTTCCCGGGCTTGGAGAGCAGCACTTCCTTCACGAGTCCCGCAGCTGGAACGGAGCCCAGGTGGATGCGCTCTGGCGATGGCTTCTCGAGTGCGCTCTGGGGCCGGGTGCCCAGGGACTGCTAACGGGGCGTCTGCAGAACCACCGCAGGATGCGTCATCCCAAGGGCCACGTCGGCGGGCTTGCAGTTTGCCAAGAAGGGAATGGTTTTAACTGATTTTAACTGAGTTACACCAGTGGCAGCAAGACCATTGATTGAAACAAGATGGGGGGGGGGGGGGGGGAGGAATGAACGGCCGGTGCCCGAGGCTGTTGGAAGGACATAAAGTTCAAAGACTTAGGAAGAAAAATAGGTAAGGCTGGCCAGAGGAAAAGTTGCAGCCCCAGCTGCAACCTCTAAAAATCCCCGAGGTTGCGGGGGGATGCCTCCATCTTTGGGGGTGGGCTTCCTCCACCCATCGTCCTCACACTGCAGCCCCAAGGTCGGAAGACCAACCTCGGAGTAGGGGCTTGGGATGGAAGGGGCAAGACTGGCATCCTGAGAAAAACCAGGAGGGGGCCTCAGCCCCGAATCTTTGTGGACAGGGGAAAAGACGTAGGGACGTTGGCTGTTTTCCTCTTTTGGAGCTAGGCCACATGGTCAATCACATTAGGTGCCAACCTGAGACATGGAGATGGCCCTGTAGCTAGCTGGAACTGGATTTGCAACATAATACCGCATATAGTTTTTACGCAGGAATTCTAAAAAGAATTTCCTGAAGCTGCTGTTCAGATCATTAAGCAGGGCCCAATGATCCATGTTGGCGTTAGAAGATAAGGCAGATGCTGGCATCAGACAAGGGTGTATTTCATCTCCCTATCTGTTCAATCTCTACACAGAGCATTTCATAAAGCTGAATTGAGATCAGGAGGAGGAGGAGTAAAACCTGGCCGAAGGCACATCAATAATATAAGATAAGCACATCAATAATATAAGATAAGCAGGCGCTACCATCTTACCAGCAGAAAGTAGCGATGAGTCGAGAAGAGCAAAAGCAGGACTGCTGCTGAACACTAAGAAACCAAAAATGACAGCTAGAGAAGAATTACGGGACTTTACTGTCAACAGTGAAGACGTTGACATTGTGAATTATTTCATGTACCCGGGCTGGGGGGTCAATTCACTGGGAGACTGCAGGCAGGAAAGTGAAGAAGATGGGGATCGGGAAGGAGAGCAGTGAAGGAACCAGAAAAGATAATCCAGTGTCGGGATGTTTCACGGAAACCCAGGCCAAGAACACGCACTGTCTTGTATTCCCAGTTACTCTGTCTGGGCAGTGAAGAAAGCTGGCAGGGACCGATGGACACCTTCAGAATCGATGCATGGCGCTGGAGGAGCGCTCTGCAGGCACCCCGGACCAAGCGAGTGGGCGCTGAATCAAGTCCAGCCGGAACTTTTCCTGGAAGGAAAAGGGACGGAGCAGAAGCCGTCATACCTGCTCACGTCTGGAGAAGGTGGGACTACCTGGAGGAAAGCGTGCTAGAACGCGTCGGGCGCGGGAGAAGCAGAGGGAGGGCGACTAAGAGCTGGCCTGGCTCTGGCGCTGAGCGGGGCTTCCCTTCGTGGGCTGCCGGAACCCGGAGACGAGCTGAGGATGCCCGACAGCAGCAGGTGGACTTTGAGCATCTTCTGAAATATTTATTTATTCATATTGTGACTTCTATCCTGCCTTTTCCTGCCAAGGGCTCAAGGCAGCTTACCTCCTCCTCCTCCATCTTGTCCCCACAACAACACCCCTGCGAGGTAGGCTGGGCTGAGCGGCTGTGGCTGGCCCAAAGGCTCCGTGGCCGAGCGGGGACTCGAACCCAGGTCGCCGGAGCCCCAGCCCCAGCTCTGGACCGCGGCGCCGCGCCGGCTCTTGCGTGGATGCTCCGCATTCTCGGCACTAAGTGCATCGCGTCCTGTGTGTTTAGGCAACGACGGGTCAAGAGTCCGTGCCAGGGAATGCGCGTGCGCGCGCCCGCCTTCCCGCGCAACGCGTTTTCTCCGGATGCCGCGCGCCGGCTGAGGAGAAGCGCGCGGAGGGCGGGGGGGGGGGGCGAGGATCGCGCGCAGCAGCACCGCGCTCCTCCCTCCTGCGGGTGGCGCTGCGGCGCGAGGCTGGCCGGAAGCCGCGGCGCGCCCTACCGGAAGCCGCGGCGCGGCGGCGTCACGGCCCTTGCTGCGCACGCGCGCCTGGCTCCCCGCCCGTCTGCCCGCCCTCGGCCGCCGGACGCCTCGGTCCCCGCGCAGCGCCGGTGCAGGTGAGGCGCCCGCCCGCCGGTCCTTCCCGCGCCGCCCGGGCTCGTCTCGGTCCGCACGGGGCCCCGCGAGGCGCCCGAAGCCGAGGGAGCCCGTGGCCGGCGCGGCGGGACCGGGCGCCCGAGCCCCGCGGTGCCCCGGCGGCTTGGCGAAACCCTCCGCGGTTAACGTCTGCAAAGAGGCGGCATTTCCTGCGCCCGCAGGGCAAGCAAGCCGGCGCGGGGCGGGGCGGGGCGGGGCGGGGCTGCCGCTCCCCCGGGCGAGGAGCGCTTCCCGCGGGCCAGGTGCTGCGCGGGCTCCCTCGGCTCCCGGCATCGGCCCCCAGCCGGGCCGCATGGTGCAGTGGCGCGCACCGTATCGCAACGACGGCCCCTCCCGGGCCTGAGGACGCAAGCCGTGCCGCGTTGGAGCGAACTCCCGGTGCGCGGTGCCCACGGTGGCCGGCCAGGCGCCCCAGTGGGAGCCAGTCCTCAGACTGGTGTGTCGGGAGGAGATCTGTGGCTTGGGCTTCTCCTCGACCCGCTGGGCGTTCGAGGTGCTCGAGGAGGAGCAGTATCTTCCCCAGTGGCACACAGTAGCTTCCGACCGGCTAGCGGTGGCCCTGGTGCGCCGTACCTGCTTCTGCTAACTCTCAAGGTGCCCTGACCTTGACAATGGTTCAGAAGTGCATAGTTGTGCAAAGCCTTACCTGGCCTGGGACTGCGATCCCTGATGAAGCACCACTGAACCGACCTCTTGCCTGCAAGCACATCTGAGCCCTTCCTCGGAGTGCCACCTCCAAGGAATGTGCGGAAGATGGCGGCAGAGGGACGGGCTTCTCGGTGGTGGCCACCCTGCTCATCATGGAATGATTTCCCCCCTGAGGCCCACGTGGCACCAACACTAATCTTTTCAGTGCCAGTTAAGACTGCCCTGTGCTTCCAGAGGGACTGCAGGTGGCGCAGTGGTTTAAACCGCTGTGCTGCTGGGCTGGTAGATCGAAAGATCGCCGGTTCGAATCCGCACAGCGGGGTGAGCTTCCGGGCTCCGTCCCAGCTCCTGCCAGCCTTGCAGTTTGAAAGCATGCAATTGCAAGTAGATGAAGAGGTGCCACTTTGGTGGGCAGGTAACAGTGTTCCGTGCACTTTGGTGTTTAGCCATGCCGGCCACATGGCCACGGAGACTGTCTGCGGACAAATGCCGGCTCCCTCGGCCAGGAAACGGAGATGAGCACCACCCTCAAGAGTCAGGCATGACTGGGCTTAACGTCAAGGGGAAACCTTTACCTTTTATTCTTCCAGATGTTTAATAGTATCACCTGCTTTTTAACAGGCGTATCATTTTATTGAAATAGCTTTTAGCTGCTTAAGTTGCTTTAAATTTTGTGTATCATTTGGGGGTTTAATTCCCAGGAGCTTTGGCTAATGTGCAGTACAGAACTTAAATAAATAATTGCTGTCGAAGTACGGTTGTAGCCCAAGAGCGAAGTCTTTGGAGGGCAAATCAGGAGCAGCGGCTGCAGTGCATGCACATTGGCACCGGGGGTGTGGGGAATCCACAGTGTGGGGCAGGGAGCAGTGTAACGTCACATGTTGCTGCACTTTGATATTTTGCACATATACAAAAACCCTTTGGGGGTATGGCAGCTGAATTTTTAATTCTCAAAAGTTGTAACATTTAAAAAATGTCAGTATAAATAACACACAGCGTGTCCGTTACAAAAGGTGGTAAAATAAGTTAAGCATTATTATTATTATTACATTTTTATACTGCCCATAGCCAAAGCTCTCTAGGTAGTTGACAGCAATAATCACAGAATCATACACTCAAGTTGGCCATCCCACTTCTGCCCAGGCCTGACCCTGCTTAGCTTCCAAGATGAGGCAGGATCAGGCACTTCAGGCTGCATGGAAGCATCAATGCATAATGTGGCTCGAGTCCCTAATTAAAATTTGCTCTGATTTTTCTTGCAGTGAGGCAAAGCAGTATTGTGTGTGGGGGCTGGGAAGAGGTGGTTAGGCTCTTGCGCTGTTTCTGGTGGCCTTGGTGACGGGCTCAGGCATACGCACTTCGGGAGAGTTAACATGAAGTACCTGCACTTCAGTTTTAGGAAAGGGGGGTTGCTTTCCGTTGCTAAACTGGGGTCTGCCAGTGTAAAAATGGCATTGTTCTTGATACGGTTTTTGATCCAGGACTGGGTGAATGAGTCTATATGATTATTCATATTATAGGTTTATAGTAGCATAGATAAGACCTTCCTGGAATGGAAGTGCATCGTGTTAATTTAAAGACTTAAGTTTATTTTGGCAGAAGCTTGCAGGATCGGCAGACCATATCACTCGCATGGCTCGTGAATCGCTAGTGTCAGGGTTTTTAGAGGAGAAGATGGGCGATCATAGAAATTCTGTGTTCTCCCTCCCTCCCTCTCCCTCTCCCTCTCCCTCTCCCTCTCCCTCTCTCTCTCTCTGGTACACAATAAAGCTGGTGGGAGGTTAGCTGGGGGTAACGTAATCCCCAAGCTGTCAGTTCCCTGTCTCTGCTGCCTGTCTCTAAACTATGCTGGTTTAGTACCAGTTGCCCATTAAATCGTGGCGTTTCTGCACCCCCTTCCCCCACACTGCTTCCCGATCCGAAGACGCTGCCGTCGCTGACATTTCCGTGGAAGGAGAGAGTTGAGCAGTCGTGGGGGAAGGGGAGGCACCGTCTGAACGCCACAAATGTCAGGTGAAATGCAAGACGACAGCTGACTTTTCTGCCTTCGCAAAACAGGCCATGGAGTGTGAGGCCGAGGCGAGGCCCCCCCCCGCGTGCCCGTCCCCCTGCGCGCCCCGAGCAGGCAGCGACGCGGGAGATGCAGGTGCAAACGACAGGCGCTTCCGTGTGGGCAGCGGCGGCTGCAGTCCAGGCCATGGGCAAGACGGTGGATGCCCACAGCGTGCGCTTGATGCGCCTGGAGGGCAGGATGGGGGCAGCAGAGAAGAAGCTGGTGGGCTGCCAGAAGACCACAGCGGAAGTGGAGAGCCAGCTGGAGAGCAGGTGGGCCGCCCTGGGGACCCTGATCGAGGAGTACGGGCAGCTGCAGAGGAGGCTGGAGAATGTGGAGAACCTGCTGAAGAACCGGAACTTCTGGATCCTGCGGTTCCCCCCCAGCGCTAAGGGGGAGACACCCAAGGTTGGGCATGCTGGCTGGCTGTGGGTCCAAAGCAGACACTGCGCTAGCCAGAATACTTCAGGTTTGCTGTGTGTGCGAAGGCAACGGCTCGGGGTCCCTGTGGTCGCAGGAGAGGCTGGGGGATCTGTCAAGTAGGGAGGATTCCTCCCCGTTGCATTAAAGCTGCTCAGACATCGAGCAGATGGGGCTGCCTCCTCTTTAATCATTTTGCAGTCACAGAGACCAGGCCGCTGTGAAGGGAGCGGATTCTGGAGACTTGCAGGCAAGTTTTCTCCTCTGCTAAAAGCAGAAGTGATTCCCAGGACACGGACAGCAGTGCGGAAATCTTTGCTCCTTCCCAAGATGTCGCCTTGTCCTGTTGTGCTTGCCGTGAAGTTGTGGGGGGTAAAAGCACCTATCTTTTCCTGGGGAGCAGCCATGCGTGCTGCCTCGCCCCCCACCCCTGGATGCCTGAGCAGCTGATGCCCTTCGGAAGGGCTTAGTGGCTTGGGTCATCCGCTCTGCCTTCAGTGAGATTACAAGCTGCAAAGGGCCTTTATGTCAGAGAAGGCTGGACAAAGCTCCACCTCTTCTTCTATTTCCCCAACACGGCCTGGTAGATTTTCTCAGCTTCCACTGGGGGAGAAGGGACTTGGGAGGCACGCGTGCCCTGCACCTGTAACTCTGGCTTTTCCGTCCAGGTTCCAGTGACATTTGATGACCTTTCAGTGCACTTTAACGAGCAGGAATGGCAGAACCTGGACGAGCTGCAGAAGGAGCTGTACAAGACCGTCATGAGAAGCAACTATGAGCTGCTGGTCTCGCTGGGTGAGATTTGTCTGGCTTTCCGCAATCCTGTGCGCTATTTTAAGATGTGAAGATTTGTGCGCTATTTTAAGATGTGAAGATTTGTGTGCTATTTTAAGATGTGAAGATTTGTGCACTATTTTAAGATTTTAAACAATAGATTGCAGACTGTGACCATTCTTATTTACGCTGGTGGATCAGCACATCTGGATCTGGAAAGCCAGCACTGTAGCTGGCAAGAGAACCCGCTTTTGAAGACCTACCGTATAAAAGCATTTTAAGTAAAATATATGAATACTTACTCTCTGAGTTTGCATAGAAATGCCTGTTCAACCCAGAGAACATATCATTCATTCATTCATTTTACAAACGGTGCTCCATAGGACTTTCTGGGTGGTGAATGCAATACAGAAACAATGCAATTTTGACAATCGACTATTTTGATCATTAGCTAAGATCATTTTAAGCATGCATGGTAGGCTGAAACCATCAATAAAATTATTTAATTACTAAAATGTTTGGAAAACAGAACTGCCTTTGCTCGGTGCTGAAATGATCGCATTGAGGGCCCCAGGGGTCCTGCGCTGGGGAGCCTTTTCCAGAGGTGGGGCTGGACTACCTGTCGACCTCTTCCCGCACACCTGTGCCCCACACAGTTTCATGGGGGCAGGCGAAGGAAAGCCAGGGCTTCCTGGGATGCCAGAATACTGGGTTCTCCAGAATGGCTCCCAGGAAGCAGCCGCAGTCTGGCTGTGAAATGCACTCGTGTGCCCGCAAGCCCACGGGGGTGGTTTGAGGTTTGGCTTTTTGAACGACAAGGCACAGCCTAGCCAAAGCCCGAGTGTGTCTGCGTTGAAGGCCGCGGATTAATTTCACCGCCTTAAAAGTGAATGGTGGCGAGGCTGGGAAAGCTGCTTGCTTGCGGCCTTGGAGGGTGTCCGGACCCTGGATCTTTCTTTGGCCTCGTACCACGGGGGAGCAAGCGCCTTTCGCAGCACCCGTCCCGTAGGGTCCTGGCCTCGTCTTCACGTTACCGGGCAGCCCTATTAAGTTGAACGTCTGGGGTGCTCATATGCACCTCGCTGTACTGATGCTTGGCACATGGTCAGCTCTTGCTTCTCCAACCGTCTGCTCAACAGACTATGTGGTGGCCAAGCCCGAGATCCTGACCCGGATTGAACAAGGGCGGGAACTGTGTGAGAAGGTGCCTGGGGATTCCGAACGGAGCAGCGTCTGTGGACCCCTCGATGCAGGTACATTCGTAAACTTCAAGCGCAGACCTTGAGACCTACGATCTCTTCCTCTGGAATCACTTGGCCGTCTTCTCATAGCAGGGATGTTTCCCTCAGCCTGAGGGTGAAGGCGGGACATAGGAGGTGACTGTTTCCGGTGCCCGTTTTAAGGAGCAGTGTTGGAACATTAATTGCCCGTGGAGGTTGCATGGCAAGGTGCACCCTCCGCCGTGTTCAGGTCCATGCAAAGATTATTTTTGTGGGAGGAGTTGAGCAGACGTGATGTTTGCATTGCACAGTAGAGGCTTCTTCCCGTTGGGGCTTTGCTCTTTGCCTGATCTGAAAATCGCTGGTGCTTCACACTGTTCAGAATGTCTGTTTTTCCAGCATTTTTGCTGCTTTGGTCTTGTATCTTGGCACCACTGTCACTTGGCCTTCCTCACCCCGTTTGTACCCGCCCCCCCCGGTTCTGGGTGATCTTTTAATCGCATCTTCTCCTGGCAGGGAGTACAGCGAGGCTTTGTGTGGGCCCTGCTAGAACAATGGCGAGGAGGTTGTAAGGTTCAGCAGACCATGCCATGAGCTTTCCTAGTGTCCAAAAGCCAGAATACTTTCCTGAAGGCATCCCAGGGCCGCATGGCCTTCAACTTGTATGAAGACTACCAGAGATGATAGCCAGGGTCCGACTAGATGGCCTGGGAGGCCCCTTCTGACGTGCTCTGTTTCTTTGTTTCCTCCAAATCATCTTGGGCAGCCGTGAAAACGGGGGTGTTCTTGCAGTGCCGTGTGGCCTGCGTTGGGGTGCAAGGAAAGGTGCTTACACGCAGCCAGAGTACGGGATTTGCACGCCTTGGTGGCGTCCTGAGATAGCAGTGCACGTTTCATGCGTGAGTGCCAGTCAGAGGCAGGCAGTAACGCCCAGGATTTCCCCTCCTCCCTTCAGCGCCCCCTGCTGCCCCAGTAGATGTTTCTTTGTGGCTGAAACAAGAAGCGGGTGGACCACCGAAAGGGGACATGAAGCCCCCTGAAGAGAAGAGGGGCAGCTGTCACGTGCGTACGTACCCAAGCTGCAGTGCTGGCTTCTTGGCTGTTCGGCTCACGTTCCGGAAAGCGCGTTCCTTGACTTGATCACTGGGTTATTAGAAAGCAGGGATAGGGGAGAAGGCTATGGGGGAAGAGCATGAGGAGGCGGAGATGCGGCCACATTTATGGTGCCTGTGGTTTCCCTTCTGTCGGTGCTTCCGTGGCAGCTGGGGGTGCCGAGGTGCCTCGTTCGGGTGGGGCCTGCCTCTGTCGCTCCCCTGCATGCTCCCCGGCCCGGTCTCAGGCAACGCACTCCGTGTCTGTTGCTGGAGTTCGGCGTGCACTTTCCCGTCACCCTGTGCTTCCCTGGCCTCCCTCTCTCTAGCTCCTCTCTCCCACCTCTCTGTGCATTTTAGCCTAGTGCCGGCCACCACTTCCTTCATCCCTGCTCTTGCTGTGCTTGTTCCTGCTTCCCTCTTGCACCCACTGCCATTTAGCTTCCCAGCCCTCCCCTTCTGGCCACATGCCCCCCTCCGGCCACGTGGGGCGGCGTGGTCTCCTGTCCCCAGGCCCCGTGTGAGAGTTCTGCAAGCGGGAAGAGGAACACCCGGTCCTTCTTTTCTTCTGTGCACAGGTTCCCCGCTGGGCGTCGTGGGAGCATCCCCGTGGGTCAAAGAGGAAGTGGAAGAGGTGCGTGTCGGGCCAGGAGGCTCCCGCGAAGAGGAGACCGGCCACGAGGCTCACCTGGGTGGGTCTCGCATTCGACCTCTTGGAATATAGGTGGGGTGTACAGGGGTAAATCGTGGTTCGCTCTGGCAGCACGAATGACTTCGTGGTTGCATTTAATCCGTTCGAGCTTGATGTCCCTGGCCATTTCCCGTTTGTTGGCTTGTCTGTCCGGGCACTCGCGGACGGTGAAGCTTAGTGAAGAATGTGGTCCCAGGCAGCGAGAAATGGCATTGCATTGCTTCGGATTTCCTGGAAATTAACCTGAAACCTTGTTCCCACAGATAGCCTGTCCCTTCCTGATAGGTTTTTGGCTGTGCCCTCATTTTCATGGTTCAGATCCCTGAGAAGGCGAATTTAGTGCTCTTACAATTACTCATGTGATGGTTGCCCACCCTATCCAGAGGGTTCAGGGTGCAGACTAAGGGGAAGGCGTGGCGGGCACGGCCTGGAGGATCCCGTGGCCTTGGCGTGGTCTGCCCTCTTGCCTTCTGGACAACTCGGTCCCAGCTCTGCCCACCTCGCCATCGACGCCCCTGCTCGGTCGGGCTGCCAGTTCTTCTGCTCTAGCCAGGAGCTGTCCTTTTGCCCAGGGTAACTTGTGAATACTCTGGGATGTGACAGGTTCGGGGGGACAGGGGGACACTCAAAGGCACCTGCCAGAAGGTGACGGGCAGCAGATTTTAATCAGTGTCAGCTTTTCCAGACTAGTTCCTAAGGAGCTCCTTAAAAAGATGTTAGTGCTTTGAGTACTACAGAGGAGGGAATGGGAGGGCTGCTGGTGTAATGCTTCTTTTCCCTGGACAGCGTGTCAGAGTGTCGCAGTCAGCGAAGGACACGTCCTGGGACGTCAGGAGGGCCCCCGTGTGCAGGAGCCCGGGTTCCTTGGCGAAGGCCCCAGTTCTGGTGAGTAGCGGAAGGAAGGCTTTGGGTCCTGGGCGTGGGGCTGCCGGACGTTCCTTTGGGTGGGGCTGCAGTTCCTCCACAGAGGCTTGCGATGGCAGCGTTTCCGGCCCAGCCCTGGCTTCTCTTCCCCGCCGTGCGAGCCGCAGCGCCATGCCTCGCCAGCGCCCGTCCCGGAGTCTGAGCGTGCAGCCAAATCCTGAGGCGAGCGTGTCGGAAAGCAGGGCTGCGCCTGGAAGGGTCCGCAGTCAGTGGCAGCGTGCCGACCCGCAGGGCCAGGAGGCCATCGGGCCCCTTCCCGAGGTGGAGCTGGTAGCAGTTGCCCTCTCCCTGTTTGGGGTGCTCGAGTTTCACCTCGCTGCATTTTCAGGAGAGCGTCACTAACCGCGTCAAGCCCAACCATAAAGAACGTTTCAAAAACGAGAGAGGCGGGAAATCCGCTAGGCCGGAAGGCAGGACAGTAACGGGGTTAGAAACACTCAAGGAAGAGGAGGCATCTGCGGAAAAGCTGAACATCTGTTTCCGTATGTTTGCACTGCACAGGACAGAGGCCTGTAGCTGAAGTGATGTTCTCACGAAGGGAGTCTGAGGAACTGGGAATGTGGTGGTGAAAAAGGATGCAGTTCCCCACCTTATGGATAAATTGGAAGTTAGTAAGTCACCAGGCCCAGGTGGTAGCCATCCTAGCATTATTAAAGTCAAATATCAAATGGTTGTTCTTCTTACAACAGTATGTCCATGTCCCATAGATCGGCCCCTGTGTGCTTGGAGGATGGTCAGTGTTTTAATGAGAGTTCCCAGGGAACCTGGGAAATAACCGTCGGGTTGGCTTAATGTCTATTCCAGGTAAAATAGTTGAAAGTATTAATAATACAGAATTAGTGAGCATAGAGGAGGACAGCTGTGCCGAAAAAGAATCAACGTTGCTACCACAAAGGCTTAAGTCCCGCCTCACTCACCTTTTGGGGTTCTTTGAGCGCATCAGTAAACATGTAACCTGGGTGCTCTGAGCAAGGATCGGCTTGGCTCCTCATAGAATCATAGAATAGAAGAGTTGGAAGGGGCCAGGGGGCCATCGCTCAGTGCAGGACGGCCAAGTCCCACCACCCCTCTCTGAGGACTGTCCAGTCGCTTCTTGAATGCCTCCAGCGCGGGAGAGCCCCCCACCTCCCCAGGCAGCTGGCTCTGTTGTCAGAACCCTCCGCCAAATGTTCTTGAGCGAACGTAGCAGTCACGAAATAAAAGCAGAGGTCCTCGGATGGATCAGGAACTAGTAGAAGGTCAGAAAACAGAGGTAAGGAATATATTGGCAGTCTGTGGATGGAGATCTATCAGCAGTGGGGCCCCACAGCATTCCGTGTGGGGATCAGTTGCTTGGCTCATGCATATATGATCTGGAATTGAGTGAAAAGTTCGCAGGGAGCTGGATGGACATTAGTCCCCCGGTTGTGATGAGTTGTGTTGTATTTGCGGGCTGTTCAGAGGCAGCACATGGTTCCTTGGAGCCCTGCAGCTGTAGGCGGCCGGGTGCCCTCGGGATGTTCCAGCCTGTGGCTCTCCTCGTGGCTGGCCTCTGGCCACGGTGCCCGAGGCGCATCGGGCTTCTGTCCTAACCCTTTGCAGGATGCCAGGCCGCTGCCGTAGCGAGGGCTTTGGGCATCTCGGAACCCTGTCCTGCAGCCTCTCCCTGAGCTCAAACAATCCCAAGACTTTTGAAGCTCTCTCGGCAAGGAATAGGAAGATGGTTCCTACTTGGCAAATCGAGTTCCTGCTCAGAGTTAGATAGTATTTCATAACAAGAGGGGCATACATTGAATTATGGACTCTCCTGCTTCAAGGTTCTAATAGTTTTTTATTTATTTATTTATTTATTAAAACATTTTTATGCTTTATAGTTCTGAGTGGATTAGAATGGCACACTTCACATGACCCTCTGTTTTAGCTGTGGAATCTAAAAAATGGTTTGGATTCCATTTTTTAGAAGCTGAAAAAGCCTTAAATGCCCGTATGGCAAGCATTGCCTTCCTAGAGGAGATAATTGGAAACTGACCTGTGCAATCACTCATATTACATAGAAAAAGAGTGACTCAGAAGGGGTTCCCCGGGCCATCTAGTCTGACCCCCAGCTCCAGCTGGCTCCACTCATGACATGCCCGCCATGTGCATGTCCAGCCTGTCCTTGAACACCCACACCAATGGGGCCTCAGCGATCTCCCGTGGAAGCCCATTCCACACCCTCGGGGTCCTGACTGTCAGGAAGTGCTTCCTGGCATCCAGATGGAACCTGGGTTCCCTGAGCTTTGCTCCATTCCTGCCGCGGGGGGAAAACGGTCAGGACCCACCTCTGCATGGCAGCCCCTCACATACCTGCATGTCGCCAACAGGTCCCCTGAGTCTCCTCTCCTCCAGGCTGGAATGACCCAGCTCCCTCAGTCTCGCCTCGTACAGCTTTCCCTGCATGGGGACCCCGTCCTGACTAATAGGCAACCCCAGGATTAGCTACAGGTGAAATCAATCGACCATGGCCAGGATCCAGCAAAATGCCGTATGCCTGCAGGGCAGGGGCAGGCAAAACTGGCCGCGTCCTGGTGCAGCAGTTTCAGCAGCAGGCGGAAAGAGCAGCTCCTCCGCTTTCAAAGCCACACGTCTCTTTCGCATTTTGGATAGCACCCTGTGCCTCTGGCTGCTCGTGAGGACCTTGCCTGGACACACGCCCTGTTCGCTGTATCCCGGTCTGTGCCAAATAAGCTACTTCTTGCACACCTTGGCCCTGGTGTGGAGCGCGCTCTCCTATCGTCGGTACAGCGGAGTTTTGCACTGGTTGAGTGCAAGAAGGGTGGCGGGCTGAGGCAGGCGTCCCCACGGGATGCCAGCCGTGCCACGGATGCCGATCGGAAGGTGAGGGCCGTCTCGGTGAGATTGGGGCGCCTGTGTCGGCTCAGGGGCCTCGGAGGCAACCTGAGCAGGAGGAGGGAACGAGCGCCTCAGAGGGGCAGCTTCTCCGTGCTGAGCGGAGCCTGGGAACGGTCTGGGTGCTTGGCCAGAGGGAGGGGTTGCTGGGGGTGGGTGCCTCCCCACGTGGACCAGCTCTTCCCCTCTGAGCAAGCCGCCAGCAGAGGCGAGAGGCCCGGCTGGGCGAGCAGAGAGCTGAGCGGAGGCGAGCGCGCCTGCAGGAGGGGTCGGGCCGTGATGAACACAAACTTCTTCGTAAGGAGAGCTGCTGGAGGAAATCAGCAGGCCGGGTTCGAGAAAGAGATTCGTATTCAGAGGCAATAAAGGGTGTTTTGCGAGGAGAAGGCCTGTGGCTGGCGCTCGCTCAAAGGAGGACCCGTGGCTCCCGGCAGGAGGACCTTCTCCGAATGGGAGAGCGGCCTGCTCCCTCCGGCTCTGCCAGAGCAGGACCTCTGAACCCGAGGAAAGGACGTGCTGTGTATGTAGGGGAACATGGTGGCTGCAGCCGCTCCCCACCTGCCCTTGTGACCGTCCAGAGGAAGCCCGGACCGCCGAGGCCCCCCCGCTCTGAACAGGCAGGATCCCATCGGGAGCAGGAGCAGGAGCTCGGCGGGGCAAGTCCCTCCCTGAAGCCACTGAGCGAACCTGCAGGTGCCACTGGCCGCCGGCAGAACCGGGACCTTTGCAACGAGTGTTTTGGGAAGACCTGACTATGGAGTGCCCGCTTTTTCCGGCAAGCTGTGTGCCGTTCTTCCACAAATGGCAGTGCGAGTACCAACATGGACTGCCTGGTCGGCGCGCCTCCCACCTCGCTGTTGAGGAACGCTTCCCTGGCTTTTATTAGGTGACATAATTCAGCGCGGCAGCAGAGCAGGATTTGCCCTCAGGCCCAGTTTAAGCCTGAGCGAAGGAGCCAGCAAGCTGCTGGCAGCACCTCGAATATCCGGATGCAAAAGCCGGATGGTGATTCTCCCGTGAGCGGATGATTCAGGGGCGGGCGCAGGCCGAGGGTGGCCGTCACGGTGTCAGCAAATGCCAAAGAACAGAATGAAGCGTTTTTAGCATTTCTGCCAGGGGAAGAATGACTGCTGACATTTTAAGGACTGGGAAAAACTGTGTCATTCTTTCTGCTGGATTGTTCCGCAGCGAGTAGACTTGCAGGCCCATCTTGTGCAGGGTGGAATCAAGATGTCTCTCCGGCTACGAATGGGGAGCGGAAGGCCTGGCGCCTGGAAACATGCATGGATCGTACCCTGCATTCAGCTGAGCCGTCTCGGGTCCTGGCGTCCCTGTCCGTGCCTTGATCTCCGTATCGGTTGCCCCCTTCACTGCCTGCCTGGTGGGTTGTTTGAGCACATAACTGAGAGCTGAGCGAACCCTGGGGCAAACAGCACCTGGACTTCTGGCCCAGAGAAGATCCACTGTTCCGCTTCATGTGCTCGTCTTGGGATTCAAGCGCCCGGAAGTCTTGCGCGTATTCCCATGAGAAGGGTTGGAGTGCTTGGCTCCGTTTAAGGGGCAGCGCTGGGCCGGCGGAGGCCTGCCAGATTCCGGCAGGGTCAGGCTGGCTCCTGGGCCAGCTTTGCCCCGCTCTCCGTAAGAGGTGTCGTCTTCATGGTGGGAGGCTTTGGACAGGCCTGGCGACTTCAGGGCAGAAGGAATTTGCCCGATGTCCAGTACTGTATTCATCATTGCTAAATGAACCTGCTTGGTCCGAATAAACTCCAGTGTAGCTTGGGGAGAGGCAAGTTATATTGATAAAAACTTGGTTAGCGCAGGAAGACTGGAGGTAAAAGCATTCCCGATTTAAGCACGCTTGAGCATGAGAATCAAATGCTGCACACGTAATTTCCTTTCCTAAATAGTTATTCTGGATACTAATCTAAATTCTGGCTTATTCTTGATAGTCTTTTAGTGCAGTACACATATTTGTTTTCCACTGAGGGGGTTTTTTAAGAGAGAAGGAAGCTTGATGTTTTGCAATGGCATCATTTCCTATATTCTTCTTTGAGAGCACAAAAAGAATTTTTGCTGCAGGTTTTCCTGTTCATATCTTCTTCTATGAAAATATTAGTTGTACCTTTGGAAACATGTTGACTTCTTAATAGTACATCTGGGCATTCAGCATCCCTCCCCCCGTTCTTTTTTTCTGTTTGCTCATAAGCAAAATGGAGAGGAACAAATACCCCCGGGGATGCAGCGCCCTGCCTGCTCCTTGGGAACGAGCAGCATTGCGTTCATCGCAAATCGCTTCTCAGTGCGCAGGTACGGACATTGCATTGTCTCTCGTGTTATGCTCCGTAGCAAGTCATCTATTTTATTTCTCTTTTAAATGTTGTTTGTTGCATCTTTGCCAAACAACATGTCACTTGAGGTGGTAAAAATGCAAAAAATTCAGTTACAGCAAAAATAAAATTCCATCCCAAACTCAACCAGCATAAAACTGTAGCTGAAGCACCTTCCACTTAAAGCACAACAGAAGGAGATCCAATCCAAGCGTCATTAAGTGGCACAGACTAGCCTGCTCTTTGAAAGAAGGCATTCTTTTAAGTTTAGCAGAATCCCTTCTTATATGCTCAACTGAACGTGCCAATTTCCTGCCAAAATTCCATTTTAGAGGGAAGAAACTCTTGGAATATATATCTTAGCAAGAAAATATTTCCCCAGTTTTAGAAAATGTGAACATCTGTATAGTGTTGCTTCAGGAGAAATGTAAACTTTAATAGTGCTAAAAGTCTAAAGAGGATTCCTAGGAACACATGGAAAGGGCGGTGTGCTGGATTAGTTTAAAGTCCCGAAAGTGCTGGGCTGCTATAAAAATGTTAGTTCTTGTTTGCTCTACACGGGAAGGTAATTTGCAGGTAAAACTTTCTAGACCACTGAAGGAGCAAAGCGGAATATTTACTTCTCTAATTACAATGCTGCCAATATTGCCTCAGTGCCTTCCGAAAGAGGGAGCTAGGGGCACGGCTGTGTCGTGTTTGTATCCATGAATGTCGTTGGCCTTTAGATAGACGCTTCCAGCGCCACTCATTTTCAACGTAGCTCGATAAAGGGCACTTGGAAAGGGGGCAGGAACGCGAGAAGCAGCGCATGCGCCTGAGAACGCCCTCCGCTGCCTTCTCCGTGGCCGAGCTGTTCTCTCTCGGCCTCGTTCATCCCTCCGTTCCCCAGCGGCGCCCGGCTCCGCACCACTGTCCCCTCAGCTCCTGGCACCCAGGCAGGCCGGGGAGCTCCCTCGACTGGGCAGCGAGCTGCGTGCAAGGGAGCCGGCCGGCTGGAGGGGCAGTTGTCCCGCTGCCCTCGAGATGGATGCTTGCAGGGTCTGGGCATGGCAGCTCAGCCTTCCAGTCACACGCAGAGGGGCTCTCGGGAGCCTGCCTTCGCTTGAGGAGCGCGATCTGCACTGGGGCTGGGAGGAGCATGCCACGTCTCGGAGAACTGGTGCGGGGTTGCTGCAGCGGAGGCATTCTCGGTCCCTCTTGCTCACTGGTAGCCTGTGGACGATGGGTTTCTCGCTCCGTGCGTGGCTGCGCAGACTCAGTCCGCTGCACGAGGCTCGGTTGGTGCTGTGGCAGAACCGTGTGGTTGCTGCCAGGAGAGCAGGCCGCCTCCTCTGTTCTGCGTCGCAGGTGAGGAAGTGGACTTCAGCTAAGAAGAGGCCTCGGGGCTCCTTCTCTGGAAACATGTGCATCCGCGCTGGCTCAGGTGCCATGCAGCCGTTGAAGCAGTCTCAAGTTTCCACAGCTTCCCACCTGTTGGCAGTGATTTCGCCAAGTCAGCTGCTGTGTCTTTGGCATCCGACGGGGCGGGGATTTCCAGAACGCCAGCCGAAGACGGAACGAGTTCAGAGCGGGCCAGTTTAGCCAAGGCCGCAGTGTCACGGGGAACCCTGACCCTCCACCCCATCGCTGGGGAATCCGAAGCGGGATGGTGCTGTGGCAGCCACCTCTGGCCCGTGCGCCGTTATGGGAGCGGGATGGCTTGCTCTGAGAGGCTCGGAGTTGCCAGTGCGTTCTCGCGATGATGCGAGCTGTTAGAACCACACGCGGGCCGGCCGTCTTTCTCCTCTCTCCCTGGCATCCAACTAATTCCCGGCCCCATGTTCCGCACTTCCGATGTCCACAGGTTCTGCTGGGGACCTCTTCTAGCTGCAGGATTGCAGGATTCCTCGCTTGGCTTCCAGCGCTGCTAGCGACCCCCGCCCCAGCCTTTCTGCTTCCTCTTGTGCCCCCGTGCATATTGCGTTGTGGTGCTAGAATGTTGTAGCATCTGGAAGGCTGCAGAGGACTCGCTTCGCTGCAGCCCGTGTCATCCCAGGCCTGTGACAGCAACACCTGAATTCGCAAGTCACTGGCTGGCGCTGTGTGCATACTCCAAACGATTTAAAACGCTTGCGCTTGCGAGTAGCTTCACGATCGCTGGGCGACACGTCGCCCTGTTTCCACCTGCCTGTCCTGCCTCACGTTTGGCGAGGCAACAGCTTCCGCTGTGCGGGTTACGGGAGAGGTGCGGAGGACGCAAGTTCATCAGCAGACGGGGATCTGCGGGAGGCGGCGGCACACTAGCGATCGGCCAAGGCTTGGCTTGGATGTGGAAATGCATGCGGCGCACTGGGATCTTGGACCAGTTCTAGCCCAGCCCAGAGGCAAAATAGGAGCACCTGCCGGCAGCTTTATTGACTGCTCTCTTCCGCAGAAGCCCTTTAGGAGTTTCCTTGACTTCCCGAGGCAGCTTGTTTCATTGTTTATAGTGTGGAATCCTTTCCCAGTGTTGAAGCCTAGGGACACGTCTGCCCTCCACCACAGCGTAGGCCACAGGTGGCAGACCTCTGGCACGCACGCCAAAGTGGTCACACAGAGCCCTCTCTGTCGGCACGTGAGCCAAGCCGCCCCGGCATCGCCCCAGCAGCCGAGCAGCGGATAACAGCGCACACAGGGGCCCTGCGCATGCTCGGAAGGGAGTAGTGGCGCCAGGTGATGATGTCACGAGCCGCGACTCATTAGCCACCACTCGTCTGAGCTTTCGCATGGCCGGTCAGTGCACTGCCAAAGATATGTATGTATTTGCTTGGACTGGCTGTGAAGTTTTTTTTTCTAAACAAAATCCTCAGTATTTGGGTTTGATTGCAGTGTTGGCGCTTTGCGATAAATAAGTGGGGTTTGGGTTGCAGTTTGGGCACTCGGTCTCTAAAAGGTTCACCATCATTGGATTAGGGTTAGAAAAACGAGGTGTCCTGGCATGATTTTGATGGTTGGGATGTGTGTAGAATGGGCAGAAATAATGAGCTGCGCAGAAAAAGCTACTCTAGGAAGGGTTTTTCAAAATCACCCTCTTTTCAATGGAACTTTAGCCCTATGGTAGGGTTAGGGGTGTGCACCAGGGTAGGGTTAGGCCAGCGATGGCAAACCTATGGCATGCGTGCTATAGCGGGCCCGCAGAGCCCTCTCTGTCAGCACATGAGCCAAGTCGCTCCAGCATCACCCCAGCAGTTGAGCATCAGATAACAGTGCACACAGGGGCCACGCGCATGATCGGAAGGGAGTAGCGGCGCCAGGTGATGACATCACGATCCATGACTCATTGGCTGCAACTCGTCTGAGCTTTCGCATGGCCAGTCAGTGCACTGCCAAGGATATCTGTATATATATTTGCTTGGACGGGCTGTGAGCTGTTTTTTCGAAATTAAAACCTCCGTTTTCAGGTTTTATTGCAGTGTTGGCACTTTGCGATGAGTGGAATTTGGGTTGCAGTTTGGGCACTCGGCCTCTCAAAGGTTCGCCATCACTGGCCTAGGTTGTTTACGCCTCGGATAGTTGCAAATGCACAGGCTCGAGCCTCCTGCCTCCGGGCAGCCCGATGGCTCCTGCGCAGTCCCGGGTCCTTTGTCACGGCATCTCCAGGCAGAGCATGCGCCGTCGGGAGGTGGCAGTGCAGCGTTGCAGAGCACCCCGTATCTCATCTGTCATTTCCAGGAGAAAGATGGTCGCTTTGGTAGCAGATGTATTCCGCCTTCCCCTCTCCGGCGCGATGTGTCTGTGGAAGCGTGAGTGTGGGGAGAGATCTTGTGGGTCGTCCCATATATTCACCGGCGAAGGGATCTTGTGAAGCGTTGGCTTGGGGCTTAGGCCTGCAGTGCAGACTTTGTGGGGCAGGTGGGGGATCAGGGCCCCGAAGGACGCTGCCTGTTGGAGCAGCATTTCTGCGGGCCGCCGGTTCCTGTGCCGGCACGGGCGTCTGCTGAGGTGCGAGTCTGGGTGCAAAGTGCCAGGCCCCGTGCTGGAAAAGCTGTTGCCTCTGAGCGGGCCCGTCTCCTTGACCGGGCCTGACGCATTCCGGGGCGCCCTTTCCCCCTTTGGACGGAGAAGGAATTGTCTGGGCCCGCAGAGTAAGCGCTTCTCTTTGCTCAGGTCCAGCCCCCTTTCCGAGTTGGGCGGCCGCTGATGGTGACGTGGAGCATGCACTGCGTGAGCAACACCGAGGGCGATTTTACGACATGATGGAGGAGATCCTGTCCACCAAACGGGAGGACAACAACAGCTACATCAACCGCCAGCGATACAGGACGTTGATCGAAGAAGTCAAAGAGGCAAAGCGGCTGCGCAGCAAAAAGGGCAAGCATTACCGCCGGCTGCGGCGCTTCAACGTCCTCACCGTCGGGGCAGAAGAGAAGCTGGTGGCGCCCGTCTCGCCCGGGCATCCCGAGGTGGTGCACTTCGTCCAGTACGAGGACCTCTTTGACATCCTGCACGCGGCGCACGCGTCCATCGGCCACGGAGGCCGGACCAGGATGCTGAAGGAGCTGAGCCGCACGTACAAGAACGTCACCGCCGAAGCGGTCATGACTTACCTGCGGCTGTGCGAGCTGTGCCAGAAGAAGCAGGGCGGGCCCAGAAAGGGCTTGGCCGCACGGCCGGCCTGGCACACCGACCCCGAGCCCCGCTGCCCGTTTGGCATGGTGCGCATGTAGCCCGTGAGGCGGGAACCCGCAGTCCGCGGCACCGCCCCAGGGTCACGCTGGACTCCCCCTTCCACTCAGGCCCCGGCCGTCGGTCAGGCTAGCGGCGTTGCTGGAGTGTCTTCTCTGTTGTTCCGTGTTTCTCGCACCAGCGCAGCTGCAGAGAACGTGCAGGTCAAATAAGCAAGGGGGGAAGTCCTCCCCAGATGTGGGATGGAGCTGCTGTCCGAGCCGAAGACCGGGCCCAGCCTGGTTCTGTCGGGTAGACAGACCGAGCCACGGCGGTCGGCTTGGGGTGCGGAGGCCTCCTGCCCCAGGCTCACCGCTGGACGGTGCCTGTTCAGGCTGTGAGGAGTCTGGCGGATCGGGACCTTGTGAAAATGCTGCCCGGCGGAAGCTGCCTTTGGACGCCGCAGAGTGGCCGGGCATCCAATGCGGAGGACTTGGGGGTCGTCAGCCGGTGATGGAAATCCAGGCGTGCTTGAGCCACACGCACTAAGATAATGAACCGAGCCTTGCGCAGGAATATCCACCCCCCACCCCCCAAGTTTTTGGGGAGGAATCCCTCTCTGAAGCTGCTCAAGCGCTAGCAGGAGGTGGCCATGCTGTTCTGCAGAGATTCTGTCCCAGGCGCTCGTGTGTGCGCGCACGGGGGGAGGCGTGGGTGCCTCTGACGGGGTGTCCGTCTCCTGTGCGTCCATCTTGAAGTGACTGATGAGACCGCGGGAGTTAAGCCAAAGGTGCTTATGGACCACCTCACGACATCGCTCAGGGCAAATGCAGCCACTTGTTCGATCGTATTTTGCAGCGCTGCAGAGCAGTCGCCCCCCCCCCCCCAAAAAAACCAGTCTTGTGACTTGCAAGGCCATGGAGAAAGTGTCCGTGAATAATCCCACCCCACCCCATTTTTCCTGGGCTATCAGGATTTGAGTACTGCAGAGCCTGAAACGAAAATATTTCACAGAAGTTAGACAGGAAAAGCCCTGCCCCACGTTTGGCCTGGGACTGCAGACTCCGACGACACCAACCCGCAAGCGCAGCAGCACGGAAGGTAAATCCTATGCATTTTATAGACGGAACAAGCCCCACGATCCCAGCATGTGCCCGGATATTTTTTTCTGCCAACATGTATTGGGTTGTGCCCTTCATCTCACTATTTTCCTGTATTGTGCCCAGTAAAAGACCATCAGAGGCGAGGGTTACCTCCATCCCCTCGTTCAGACAATTAGCAAGTGCAAAGCAGTCTTTCTGGGCATTGTGGCCCTCCCGAAGGAAGCCCCCAAAACCCCAAATCACAGGACGTCTGAAGTGCCAAGTGCAACTTTCCTATTTTTAAACCTTTTAAGGATTTGATTTAGTTGACTTGGTAAATGTTCTTATAATGTACTTTGATTTTGTAAGCCAGGTATTTATTTGATACTTTATATTAAATACTAATTGACAATACTGTATTTTTATCCTTCGTTGGCTGCTTTGATTTTGAAGAAAGTACGGCTTCAGTTTTTAAATTTAAACAGAGGCTTATGGTGCTGTAGCTAAAATGACTGTCTGTGCAGCTCAGTCACTGAAAATCCTACAGTTCTCCTGCTACTAAAACTCTAATCCTCAGGCAGAGAATATAGGCTACTCCCAAAGTCATTGGATTGCTCCCAAGGAATCTTTCAGTTCTCTCCACTGGTGACCAGAAAATGCCAGAAAGCAGTCGAGAGCGAGGGATTGCGTGGGTCTGTCTGCCGCGAGAGTCAGCCATTGCTGTCACAAATAAATATTAACTTGTCATCTAGCTGTGTACCGTGTTTGTGATGAAAACAAACCCGAAATCCCTGAACATCAATGTAAACATTATCTGTACTTTTTAAAAGCTCTGTCCATTGTTGTTAAAAGTGGATTATCTTGACCCCTGGTGACTTCATTTAGTGTTAGGTGGGATGTTAACAGAAATCTTATTAAAGTAATTTTGTTTTTAGAAAAATGGCTTTGCTCGATTATTCATTGCTGGGAGCTCCCTGGGGATCAGTTTTGAAATCAACTTTTCTGGAAATGTTCTCTGCTTTGTTTGCTTGTGGGCTGTGAGAAGTGTAAACGGGTCGGGATTATAAGAAAATGTTTGAAGAGCCCCCGTTCGCTCATGACTCCGGCTGTGGCCTGGCCCGCCCTGCAAATGTTGCTCCCATCAGAGGGCACCTTCGGCCAGGCCCGTGCCCCGGGGTTTCACGATTTCTGCCCGTCCGTGGCAAGTGCAGTGGCCGAGAGCAGAAGCAGCCGATGCATCGCATCATCGGACCGGCGGCTTACCTCCGGCTTCTGCACTCTGCAGTCGCCCCGCAGGTGCGCTCAGCTGCAGCTCCCAGCCTCCCCAGACGGTCAGGACTTTCCCCCTGGGGCCGAGGCGGAGCCCAGGACAGGTTGCACAGGTGGACAGGCAAAGAGAAGCGCTCTTTCCAGTCCAGAAGCCGCGCCGAATTAGCAGAACACTTCCCATGCAACCTTGCTTCGGCACCTCCGCACGGCAGCACGGGAAATCCACCTTTTGACTCGCAAGCAGCCCGCGGTCCTACCACCGACGGGGAAGCGGACTCTAGGGACATCCCCAGTCCACCCCTTTCCATAGCCGTGTGGTAGCAAAAGCACCACAGTGCAAGAATCCGGATCGTGTGTGTGTGATACGACGAGCGAGAAGGCTTTGGGGGCTGCGTTAGATCGCAGGCCGAATATGGGTCAGCAGCGCAGTGCAGTTGGGAAAGGCAAATGCCAGGTTGGGCTGCGTGATTAGAAGGATCACTTCCAAGCCACGGGCGGTGCTGCTTCCCCTCTGCTGAGCACGCGAGGCCTCGTCCCGAGTGTGCCGTCCGGTGCGAGGCATCACAGTGTGAGCGGGAGACGGACAAATGGGAAAGGGCTCGGAGGAGGCTGCGGCTGGCTGGAAACAAGGCCCCCCGGGACACACTGGAAGAATTGGGCCTGTTTATTCTTGAGAAGACCGGGGGGAGTGGATATGGAAGCCCCCTTCAAGTGCTGAGAAGGCTGCTGCAGAGAGAAGGGCTGGGGTCTCTTCCTGATCACCCCAGAGTGCAGGATGCAGAATTCATGGGCTGAGGTGGCAGGAGGCCCGGGTCTGGCCGAACGCCTGGAGACACTTGCCGGCCGGTAGAGCGATGCAGCAGAGGAGCGGGCGATCGAGGGAGGCTGTGGGTTCTCCCCCAGGGAAGGGATTCAGGATGCCGCCGAACATTGTCTGATGGGGAGGGTTGAACTTGGGCGCCTGCGTTGAGCGGGGCCTGCTCTGTCTTGGCCCCTTCCAACTCTTCTGTTTCTACTCCTGGATTTCTCAGGTGCGAGCAGTAAGTTTTGTGAGCATTCGCACAATCACTGTTAGATTGACAGAACCCCTTTTTGGATATAAAGGGACTGGACTGGCGCTTGGCACCACTCGCAGGAGGCAGAGAAAAACTGGCCCACTGCAGGCCACCTCCCAGCTCCGCTCGCATCGGAAAGCTCAGCCCGTAGGGGAGCTGCGGACCTGCCTGCAAGCAGGCCTCCGTCTTCTCCGCACAACTCTAGCTCTGTGCGTCCACACACAGCCGCGACTTCGTGGGTGCCACCCCGCAGCCCTGTGGGTCGTCTGCATGGCAGCCCAGCTAGGGCTCTTCCTTGTCAGCACCACCCAAGGGGTCCCGTGGCCAATTTCTCCCGAGAGGCCAAAGCGCAGGAGACGCTCCCTCTGCCAGCCCTGGCAGGGAAACCGCAGGCTGCCCCGGCTGGTGTGCATGAGGGGAAGCTCTGGGGGGTGCCCCACGGCCTGGCAGGCTGCAGTTCGCATCCCCCCGTCACAAAGGAGAGGGAAGAGCGGGGGCTGGGGGCTGCCCACGTTCTTTCTGCCTCCGCCTGCCGAGGGTTTTACGGGATGCCCTTCCTAGCCTGGCGGCCAAGTCCTGCTCGGGGAGAGAGGGACGAGCCACGCTGACGGCGCTGCACCTGGCACCGTGTCCTGCTCACGTGCCGTCAGTTCTCCCAGAGGACGGCCTGCAACCAGGCTCCGCGGAATGCCAGGCCTGGGGTGGGGATTCCACTATTTGAGCAGCAGCATCGAAAGGACCCTCTCCCTCGCAGTTAACCCCCACCCCACCCCACCCGACTAGAAGACCAGGGCAACTGGGGGAAGCACCTGGATCAGAGTCGCACGCGGGGTGGGGGGACCCCAGACTTCCGCATTCCCTTTAGGCCTTGAATGGCGAAAGGCGCAGGCTGAATTGGGTCCGGAGACCCAATGGCAGCCAACGCAGTCCGCAAGATGGCACCAGTCAGCGGCCCGCCCCTGCAGTCCGTGTCGCTGGCGCCTGCCCTCCCCTCGAGTCGCTACGAAGGCCTCACACGCCTGCCGGCCAATGTTCACCGACGTGCGAGGCTTCTGTGGCTCCCGACTGGAGGGCAGGTGCCCCTGGTCAGCTGGGCAAGAGCGCACCCGGCCCTGCGGGCAGCGCCTTCCTTTGTAACGCCGTTGCTTCTGTTTTGTTCCTGTGTTTCAGCCCTCGCTGAGCACGGAGCCGCAGGGGAGGAGGATGCCAGCGGTGCGACGTCTTGCTCGCTCACGTGCCCGTCCGGAAAAACCTCCGCTCGCAGCCCTGGGCCAGATCCGCCTTGCGGCAGCCAGCCCAGCACAGGGGCGCCGTCCATCAAGGTGAGGCCGGGAGGCTGGCTGAAGCGGCCTTACTCGTGTGTGGACTGTGGGAAGCTCCTCCACCAGACGCAGCCCTCGCGGAGCCACGGAGGGCCCCGCTCGGAGGCCCGGCTGCTTCAGTGCGTCGAATGCCGCAGGAGCTTCAGCGGGGAGGTCCAGCACGGGCCCGAGGGCCGCCTCCCGGCCACCTGCCTGGACTGCCAGCAGCGCCTGCGCAGGAAGCGCCCCGGCCCCGTCCACGCAGGGGACGCAAAGCCCTTCGCCTGCCCCACCTGTGGGGCCACATTCAGCCAGTGGCCACTGCAGGTCACACACCGGCAGAGCCACCAGCGCACCGAGCACCACCGTTGCGAGGAATGTGGGGCGGGGATGCCGACCCGCCAGGAAATGACCCAGCACCGGAGAGCGCACGCTGCCACGGGGACGGCCTACGGCTGCGACGGCTGCCCGCGAAACTTCCTTTCCCTGCGCGAGCTGATGGATCACCGGAGAACCCACGTCCCCGGCTGGCCCTTCACCTGCAGCTGGTGCCAGCGGAGCTTTTCCGGGCACGGCGTGCTCGCCACGCACCGGGAGCTGCACGCCGTGGCCCTGAAGAAGCTCTTCCCGAACGTCAGGCCCCGCTCCGCCTTCACCTGGCGAGAGTTCCTGTCCGAGCCGATGCAGCGCTACCTGCACGAGACGAACCCCCGCTGCTCCCCGTGGCAGGCGCTCATCGAGCTGCTCCAGAGGAACTCCGAACTCTGGCCGCACCCCTGTGTGCGGTGCGGCGTGCTCTTCTTCAGCCCGCACGTGCTCGCGCATCACAGCTGCGTGCCCTCGGGGAAGCCGCTGCGCCACCGCCAGGCGTCCGAGGAGGACCCGGCCCCGGGGCAGGCGCTTCCACGCCACCTCTGCAGCATCCGCCCTCCCCAGGAGCAGCCACTGGCGGAGGCCCCCGCCGACCACCTGCAGGGTCTTCCCGCGCCTCAGACGCCTCTCCGCAGCTGTGCCCAGCTGGAGGAGCCCCCCGGCTCGCGCGGGGCAGAGCAGCCCTTCAGGTGCCACCCCTGCCCAAGAAGCACCCCCTCCCAGGGTCTCCCCTCCGAGCACCCGCAGGGTCACCCCCCAGGGACGCCGCTTGCTTGCCGCTGGTGCACGAGGCGTTTCGCTCGGCCCGCGCTGCGGAACGAGCACCTCCTCCCCCGCGCGGCCGAGCGCCCCTCCCAGGGCGATCGCAGCACAAGCCCCCTTGCTGGCCGGGGGCGGCTGGAAGAGCTGGCGGGGGAGCTGGCCGAGGGGGAGCCGCCTCCGGCCGGTGAGGAGAGAAGCGGAGGAGGCTTCCCCAGCTGATGAAGGAAGCGGGGCCTGGACTGAATGGAGCCCATGCGCTGATGCTCGAGGGAAGGTTCCCGGGGCCGGGGCCACCCGGCTGATTGTGAGCCCGGATGCCCAGCTGCTGCAGCCCTGAGCCCCGAAGGGGCGCTCAGCACCGAGTCAGCGTGGGTGCCGGTGGGCAGGCGAGCGGCCATCTCGTGATCCAGCAGAGCGTGGCCTTTGAACTCGGGGCACCAAGCACGTTCCTCTTCCGGCTCGGAGGGATCGTGGCCCAAGAATTACCGCAGCTGCAGGAGGGACACGGGGTGCTTTTGAAGAATTTAAAGATGGGGGGGGGGGAGGCAGTAGCGGCAGCGGCCATATTCTGTGGCCCTCATGCTCTGAGGAGAGTGGAGGGAGGCTTTTCTCCCTCTCCCGTGACACTTGAACCCGGGGCCATCCCATGGAGCTGATGGGGGGAGGTTTAGGACAGAGAAACGGAAGTCCTTCACTCAGCACATGAGCGATGGAATCGGCTGCCCTGGGAAGTGGGTTTGGGTGGCTTCAAAGGGGCTGGGCGGATTCGTGGGGAGGTGGGTGGCCGTGGCTGCAGGCGCTGGTGGCTGAGCGCTGCCTCCTGCGCCAGAGGCCGGGCGTGCGTCCACCAGATGCGGAGGGGCTTGGGCGGGCCGAGGCCTCGCACCCCTCCTGCCCGGGGTGGCTGCTGCGGGCATGGAGCGCCCGCCTGCTCCAGCAGGGCTTTCGTGATGTTCTTGTGACGCTTCCCACTTGGGACGGCGTGGGGCCCATGTTCCACGGCAGAAGAAGTGGAGGTGGGCGTGCCAGGTCCGCCTCACCCGCGAGCAGACTGTGCTTGGAGGGGTGCGTCCCCGAGAGCCCGACTGGACGTCTTTCAGTTCTGGCGACCAGGCGAGGAGCTGTAGCGCCGGCCCTTGGGGCCGCAACGGACACACGCCGCCCAGAGCCCGGCCAGGCGGCCCTGCCGCACGGGCTGCACACGCGTGTGGTGCTCAGCCACCCTGCACCCTCAGCCCACCGGGCGCCCGACAGACGCCGGAGCGCCCTGCGCCTGGTCCTTCTCGCAGCCCCCGGGGCCCCCGCTCTCCGTGCCTTTCACAGCCCAAGCGGCGCCCCCTCACCCTCTGCTCGCCTCTGCTGCTTTTGGTTCGCCGCTCTTCATTTCTTTTGGCGCCACAAACCTGCGCGTCTGGGGTTGCATTTTTTGGGGAGGCCCCCGAAAATGGTACCGTTGTCCATAATTTATTTGCCGGCTCTTTGCACGTCTCCAGCCGTGCACGCCCTCTGTCTGTCATGGACCGACCGGCCTGCTCCCCAGGGTGCCCGTTCTGTTGCAGCTGTCGCGGGGAGAAGGGCCGTGCCGGAGAAGGCAGGCAGAGCCTGTGAGCAGGCCAAGTTGCGCACGGGGGCCGGGACGGATTCTTGCTGACGAGGGGCTGCTGGGTCGTGCCACCCTGAACCGGGTCGCTGCCCCTTCCCTCTCTCCAGAGGGGAGGCTGGTAGAGTCACCAGGTCCCTTCACCAGAGCTGCTCAGAAGAAAGAGGAGATTAGCGGTTTGCGTGGCTGGTTGGCTTTGCTGCTCGAGGAAAGATGGCGACTGGTGATCTTGAAATTATTTTAAATTGTTTTAAATTGTGATTGCCTTCCCTGGGTGAATGAATGTGTGTCTCTCTGTTAAAAATGCCCTCTTGTCTCCCTCTCTTTGAAAAAGAAAAAATGGGGAGGATAAAACAGCCAAGTAACTACACTTCTGTTTCCTTAGCAAGTATTTTAACTGGAATGGCGGAAGAGAAGCTGAGACTTGGGGACGCGTGTTGTGCAAAGTTCATGTCCTGGTGAGCAAGAGGACCTTTCTGAATGCGAGCAAATGCGATTTTGCCTTTCTACCCAAAAATCCTTCCTGCAGTTCTAAGAGTCATGCAGCTAAGGAAAATAAACCAAAAGGCGATTGAGAAACTTGTTAAGAATGAAGGCCAAGAAGCCTTGCAGGAGTAGAAACTCTTCTGCAAGCGATTCTTCTACCAAGTGCATTCCTGATACAAAGGGGTGACTTACGGTGTGTTCCCATGCATGTTTACTGCAAGAATTAGCCCCCCAACAATTTCTGGCTGGGAGGGGGGCTTTCCTTGCTCAAAACATGCATTTCTGAAACAAAATGAACGTGTCTTGCATGGGAACGATCTTGTTGGTTTGTCGGGCCCTTGGGAATGAGGGTGACATTGAGGGAGGGTCCCCTCTCTGCAAACCGCTCTCCCAGCCAGCACCCAGCCTTCCCCGGGACCCAGCCAGCCAGTCTTCCCTTTCACGGTTTGGCCTTTTACTTCGCCCTCTCTCCTCGCTGGCTCACTTTCCCACTTTCGATGCAAGAGTCAGGTCTGTTCCAGGGAATCCAGACCCCCCCCCCCCGCCCCGATTATCTAGCTCTTCATCATCTTCTTCAGCAGGCGTGCTCAGATCCTGCGTTTGCCTTCAGTGTTCCAGGCAGGCGCTCCTCGAATCCACGAGCGGCTGCTGCGCTCTGGCCTTGGCGAAAGGGCTGGCGTGGGGCGGGCAGCACCCTCCGGCTCCGGGCAGCCTCCGCCTTCGCTGGGCCCCTTGTTCAGAGGAGGCAGCACCCCCCTGCGAAAGCTTCACAGCTCCTTTTTGTCACAGGGAAGGCCAAGACCAGGGCGTTCACTGTCGGCTTCACGCACGAGACATCGGGCTGGATTAAGAGGAGGAGGAGGAGGCTGAATTCCGTAGTCCTGCCGGGCGATGCACCTGCCCCCTGAGTGGCCCTCACTTTGTCAGTGTTGAACTTGAGCAAATTAGAGATTAACGTCAAGCTAATTCAATTAGTTAAATTCGATTGACGTTCTGCTTGATGGTTGGGAGCCCGAGGGCATGGAATGGGCTTCCCCGGGAGGTGGTTGAGGCCCCAGCGGTGAGGGTGTTCAAGGACAGGCTGGACAGGCACATGGTGGGCATGTCGTGAGTTGGGGGGTCAGACTGGACGGCCTGGGAGGCCCCTTCTGACTCGCCGTGTTTCTGTGTTTCGGATTAGAGCTCTCTGCTTCTAACGGTTCTTGAGAGGTGGAGCAGGGCCGTGGGTCCACTTAGGTACTTAGGGCCCATCATGCACACACCTCAGTAGGTCAGGGTGATGGGCTGAATGTAACGGGACGCCATCTGGCCGAGGAATTTCAAGTCTTGCACCCTGGAAAAGGGAACCGGACGTGTCATTACCAGACGGGGGTCCTTGGCTCAACAACACGACAAGTGAGAAGCGTTGGGGCCACAGCAGAACACAAGTCAACCGTGCCGTGCGAAGGAGGCCAATGCAAATTCGGACCGCATTAAGAGGAACCTCACTTCCAAATCACATGACATTCTAGCTCCCCTGGCAGGCCTCATGGAGCCCCACCTGCAGGTCTGGATGCCAGAGCTCGAGGAAACAGAAGAAACGGGGGAGTCGGGGACGGCGATCAGAGGGCTGGAAGCATGCCCTCCGCGGAGACCTGGAGAACCCGGGCCTCTTCCGCCTTCAGAAGGCGGGAGAGCTTTGCGCTCTTCCAGTGCCGGCAAGGCTGGGCTCTCCGATCCGCTGGCTGCTGAGCTGGCCGCCACTGCACTGCGGCGACTCTACCGAAGACGCTGGGAAGCGGTGGGCTCGCCCACCCTGGGGGCCTCCAGGAGGCAGCTGGGCAGGCAGGGCAGCTGCACGGGTGGCGGGGCGGTTCTCCAAAGGCAGGGGCGGTTCGTTTCCGTAGGTGAAGGAATGCCTGTCTCGGGCCAGCTGACAAACGCCCACCTGGGAAAAGGGGTGATCAGGGCGGCTGGCGGCCTTCGGGGAACCCCGACACAGAAAGGAGCGGGAAGGGCACCCGCACTTTCGCTGGAAGGGAAGCGCCTCGCCCGCAAGCCACTTGAGCGTCTGGCGGGAGGCCTGCGAGGGCGCGCGTCCCACGTCCCCCCAAGGCGCCCCCTGCGCCCCGGGTCCGCCAGGGCGCCCCCCGCCCCCGAGGAGGCCCGGGCTCCGGCTCGGTGCGGGGCTCGCGGCCCCGCGGGCTGCCGCTTCTCCGCGCCGCGCGGGACGAGCAGAGCCGGGGCCCCAGAGGGAGCGCCCGCCGAGCCCGCTGCGGGGCGCGTCCCTGGCCACGGAGGGCTCTGCCGCGGCGCGCCCCGAGGCGCTGCCGGGG